CAGATTTCTCTGTGTAGCTTTGACTGTCCTGGAACTTGCTTGTCCTGGAGCAGGCTGGCCTTGAACTCACAGAGATCTGCCTGCCTCTGACTCCCTGAGTGCTGGGATTAGGAAACAACAATGAAAGAGTGCTGCTTAGCTTCCTTTCTCCACTTATAATAGTCCAGGATCTCCTGCCCCCAAAATTGGTTCCATCCATAATTAAGGTGCATCTCATATTAACAGTAGTCCTTCACAGACATTCTCAGAAGCTAGCCTTTGTCTAGATACTGCCCCTAGATACTGTGCTTAATCTAGATATAGCACAGATGTGCCTGGAGGCTTAGCTTTTGGGTGACGTTAGATTCTGCCCAGTTGACAACCCTAGACATCACAGATAGAATGGCTGGGAAAAACTGAGTTGGTCCCCACCTCCCCGTGAGGTGTCTGGCTAGGGAGGAATGGAGCCTGCTCCCTTTCCCTCTTCAGGTGATTCAACTTCCCCTCATTAGGCCCCACTGCAGCCATAGGTCCAAGGTTTGTAGTGACCTCAGCAAGGTAGGGCAGGGTAGGGAGGATCACCATCTTGAACTTCATTTTTATATGCTCTGCGGACCAAGCCCAGGGTTTTATGGGAACAAGGAAAGTGCTCTATTTCTGAGTTATACCCACCCTAACTTTTTCACCTTCAGGGTTGGACTACCTCTGCCAGTTTTGGCAGGGCATGGATCTTATCCTTCTGCTTGTGGGGGGTCCCTTAGTTATCAAGACTGGGCTACAAGGTGGTAATCCCAGCACTCAGGAGGGCAGATGCAGGTGGCTCTCTGAGTTCAAGGCCAGCCTAGTCTACAAAGTGAGTCCAGGACAGCCAAGGCTACACGGGGAAGCCCTGTCTCAGAAAACAAAAACAAAAAACAAACAAAAGACTGGGCTAGGATGACAAGGTCAGTTCACCTCCCTTTCTACTGACCCCATACTCCCTGTTAAGTGTCACCCAGGATCTGGCCCTGGTAGTCACACCAGTCAAAGCTGTTCGTGGGAGACACATCCATGCAGGAGAGGCCCGAGTCCCCCTTTGTCTTTGGGACCTACTTTGGTCTAAGCCCACAGGCTACACTGTTCAACAAGAGAATGCCCTATGGAGGCATACCTGCCCATTGTACTCTGGAAGTCTAGGGAAGTTCTTTGCTTTCTGACTTCCTGCTTCCATCTCCTGCCTGAAACCTACCCTGAAGTGACTGCCCAAGACTCTTTTGAAATCTTTTCTTGTGCTTTCAGCCACTCCTCTCTGATTCCAGGGGAGCCATGTGCTCCCCATTCCCATCTTCCATGTGCATAGGAGGTCTCTACATTTTTGGCAGACATGGAACCCTAAGTGTTGTTGCAGAACCTATGGTTCTCCAGCTGGTTAGCACCAGAGTGGAAAAGACAAGTGGCTAATCATCGGAGCTGGTGCTGGTGCCAGGTTGGGGGAGCTTCAGGGTTGCCAGTACTCAGCCTAAGTGGAGGGAAGAGCCTGTGAGACCACTGTGCCTCAGCTAGAGGCAAAACCCCTTGGAAGAAAGTAGGACCCGAAGGGAACATGTTGCCTTAGATGAGCCTTAGCAGCATCAGGTACCAGCAGGGTGGGGAGCTGCACAGAGAGAGCAGTGGCAGAGATCACCTCCAGGGACTCTGGAGCCAGTAAGCCCATCCTCAGAAAGCCTCCAGTGTGAGATGAAAGTGGGACCTAGGGCAGATCTCTCCCTGGCCAGAACTCCAGAGTGGAATTTTGCTCTGGGGCAGGAGGCCAGTCCTGAAGTGAGTCTAGACAGAGATAGGAGAAAAAACACCGTAGGAAGGGGCAGGGAAGGGAATGGGCTCCCGAGTGAGGCAAGGGCTTAAGCCCATCGGGTTAGGAAGTTCCAGGAGAGCCGTGGAGCTTTTTCAGGAGTCTGCGTCCTCTGAGGGCTCATGCACTCCTAAGGCAGCTTTCTTCCAAGGCCTGAATCATGTCTCTATAGGTGCCCACTCCTATGCCCCAGGCTACCCCTCCAGCCTACCCCAACTAAGTGAGATGTACCTGGCAAAGGGAGTCTGTGTCTTTGTCCTAATGTTTCTCAATTTCTAGCCAAAAGATTGGTAACTTTGCCTAAATGTCTTTGAACCCCAAGACCCCTATGAACCACAGTGGGAGACAGAAAAGGGTATTTCTGTGGGAGCTGGGAGGACTTGGATTCTTGCAGAGGGAGATCATTGGTGATGATTTATTGGCTAGACAAGAACCACCAAACAAATTGTAACATCTGTTCTTACTGAACCATCCCTCAGACAACAGCAGCATTGGACCAGGGCCCAGATGGGAAAGGCTTGAAGGGCCAAGGCTTCCTAAAGTCCAGTTTCTTCAGGAGGAAAACCAGGCAAGCTGGCTAGTCCACACACTTCCTTGCACTGGTTCGCAGTGACTCTCGGATGGGAGCCCATATGTGTTGCTATGAGGGAGAAGACATTTGTTCCTCTGTCCTTCGCTCTGCTTTGGTGTAGGAAAGCATACTTGTTAAGGGACAGGGGAAGCTGGGATGCAGAGATGTCCCAGTGCAGAACTCTAGAAAACAACCAGGCTTCTTAGCTCAGAAAAGCTCTTCCATCTCTTGTGGAGAAGAGAGGATTCAGAGTTTGGACAGAGAACAGTGAACAGGGGTTTTAATCCTTGACCTTGGCCCAGACATTCTCCTTTCTTTGGCTTTGTTTCCTTATTTGCATAATGAGGGAACTGGACTTAATTGATAAGAGCAGAAGTGCTGCTCGTCTTCCCTCCTGCACCCACAGCAGACATCACTCATTAGTCACAGCTCTTTTCTGCCGAGCTTAGATGTGACCTTAATATCCTTTCCAATGCCACATTCTGGGCAGCCGAGACCAATGGATTGGAGTTGGCATGTGGGATGACACCTCCTTGCTATTCATGCAGGAGCTTTGTTCACCTGTAGTCTATTGCATCTGCCTTTCCTAAGAAAGGACCCAGATATGTGTGAAGGTCTCAGGGTACAAAATCCTCCAAGCTGTTCTCCCAGATCAGACTTACCACCTAATGCCAAGGCCCTAGAGAGGCATGCATGTTCTCTGTTCTGAAGCACCTGTCTAGAAAAGATATGCCTTTCTAGATTAGGGGGCTGGGGGGGCACTGATGAATAAGGAAAAGGCCTTGATCTGCCACAGAGTTCTCAGAATGCAGCTATGATCTGTTCTCTGCAGACAGAAGGACAACCCTGGGTCATACACTCTGCCTCTTTGGTCTCTAGGAGAAGGAACCTGGACTTAACACTTTGGCCTCCAGAAAGGGGGTTTAGATGCCCATCCATCCCTGTCTCCCCTCTGTTTCCCCTCCGTTCTTGAGGCACCTGTTTCGTGGCAAACATTGGGCCAGTGCTTTGCAGATAGCCGAGTACCCCAGGGATGGCCCTGGTGAGTCATGTTCAGTGGAGAAGGGGGAGATAACGAGGAAATAATAGGGGTCCCAGCTGGCTAGTGGCCTAGCAAGGGTGTGTCAGGAGGGTAGGCCAGGAAAGGCTTTCCATGGAGAAGAGTGAGTGGTCCAGAGTGTGGTTAAGGGTTGCCAGGCAGCAGCAGGGTGAGCTTGCAGGAACTGTTGTAAGCAAAACTGATGTGAGTAAACTAGAAGAGACTTGGTGAGCTTGGAGAAGTATGATGGGAGTGCTTGAAGTGATGGGTCTTAGGAAGTGGGACCTCACCTCAATATGGAAGACCTAGAGGACCAGGCAGCTGCTTCAGAAACCCATTCTGCCTTTCTAAGGGAAGAACAGATCAGAAGTGACAAGCCTGGTAATTAGGACAGCAGTTAAGACACTGGCTCAGATGGTAAAGTGATTGCTTAGCATGCACACAGCCTCAAGTTTGATCCCTAGCACTGTATGAACTGCTTGGTGGCACACACTTGTAATTCCAGTACTCAGAAGGTAGAAGCAGTAGAATCAGAAGTTCTCATCAGCTTCATAGTAAGCCAACTTGGGCTACAAGAGACCTTGCCTTGAGGGAAAAATTAGAGTCAGGTGGATTGATGCATACCCAACATCCCAGCATCCTTTGGAAGGCTGAAACAAGCAGATCTCTGTAAGTGCTAGGCCAGCCTGGTCCACATCATAGTGTCCTCTAGGACACCAGGGCTACACAGTGTGAACCTGCCTCAAAAATAACTATACAAAAAACATAGTTTTTAGAAAAGTCTTAATGAGAAAATGACAGGTACTAGAATAAGGGGAGAGGGCAGATATTATTGACCTATAGAGAGTGAAGTAAAGAGAGTAAGGTGTTTAGGTAACCCACATTTCTGGCTGGTAGATGAGTGCTGGGAGGTAATCAATCAGGATATGGAACACAGGAGGATAGTGTGTGTGTGTGTGTGTGTGTGTGTGTGTGTGTGTGTGTGTGTAGAGTAAGAGTGGTTGGTATTGGCTGAATGACATTTGAGTGGCTTTGGAACCCTAGAGATGTCTGGATGGACACAGGATTAAGAAGGCAGTAGCTGGCAGGTGTACAGGTGAGCTTAGTAGGTGAAGCCCAAGCAGAGATCTTTGGTAGCAGCAGGGGGGAAGCCTGAGGAAGGACCTGAGACAGTACAGGCAAGGCAATCTGACTCATTGGATAGTAACACCATAGTGAGATGTGGGGAGACTGTAAGGATGAACACACAGAGTGCAGTGGCCTCTTCCCTGAGCACACTGGCAGTGACACATGGAATCCTAAGTTCTCCTCTCTGGGGGCTTGGTCATTGCTGCATGTGTCTGAGGAAGGACTGACAGACAGACAGGAGGCAGAACAGGATGGAGGAAGGCTGAGGGAAACCTGTCCCCTTTAATTTTCTCTGAAGCAGGGGCAGTTGTGCTTGACAAAGCTGAGCCCATGTGAATGTTCAGAAGAGCAGAGAGGACAGGCTTGGGCCGGAGCTGGGCAAAGGTTTCTGGCAGCATGAACTACTCCCTTCATCCTGCTTCAGCACACTGGCCTTCACTTTGTTCTCCTCCTCAGGAGGGGCTCCCTCTTTCTGTTGGCCTTCTTGAGCTTTTATTTCCCTGTACCCCCTTTACCTGGCCTCCTGAGATAGGCCTGGACCAGCACTTTTGGAGGATGGGGTGCCCAGTGTGTGTCATTTCTGATGGCCCCTCCACTTCAGCATAGATATTACTAGGAGCTTCCCCAGGGCTGCCTCGTCCCATGGCGTAGAAGGCTATGGGTTCATCAGGCTCCTGGTAGATGGGGTTAATGGGTAGGACCTGACAGGGCCGTGAAGCAGGACTTGTATAGACTTCAAGAGGAAGCTGAGGCTTGGCAGGGATCAGGGGCCTGCGTCTGGATGCCTGTGACGTTTAGGAGAGAAGGCAAGGTCAGGGAAGAGAATGGATGAGAACCATGGAGACAGGGTCTAATCCCAGGCCTACCTCAGCCTGAGCCTCTACCCATGAGGCCCCTTCCTTCTTGGCCTTTTTCTCTGTCCTGTGTACCCACTCCATACCCCATACCCTCCCCATGGGACTGACTTCATCCATACAGTACCTCCTTTTGTTGGGAAGCCCACACTTTCTCTTTGTGCACTGGGGCCTGGGCATGTCCCTGTTGGATGAGCAAGTGCTGGGTGTCTGGGTCCTGTCTTTTGCTTCCAGACTCTGATTCAGCCCTTAGGGAAAGTCCAGCAGGTTCAGCAGTCTGCAGGGAAAGAAGGAGGCCTGAAGGGTTAGGGTGGAGTGGCAGAGACAGTAATCCAAGAAAAGCAATTAGGTCTGAGGGAAAGGGAAAAGATGAAGAGAGAAGTGTGCTGTGGACCCCTCTGTAAGGAGGAGGGGATGGAGGTGTTGAGGGGGCCTGGGGACTGTGGTTGGAAATGAACTCTGGTCACAGGTGTGTCTAGCACTGAACTGTCTAGAATACAGGGAAAGGACAGTCTCATTTGTGCTTGTGGTTGCAAAAATGGGAGACTTTAGGAGTCTTTACCTTCAATCAGCATGGGAATAAACCTCCAAGACTGACAGGCCTTATTTCTTCAGGCTCAAGAAGCCTAATACATGAAGATAGAAGCTGCATGCTAGGGGCAGACAGTACCTCAGGAGAGGTGAGCCTCCCTCGCAGCTACCCTGTGGAAGTTATGTTTTTAGCTCAGCATTAATGCTAGCTAATGCCTCATGAAGGGCTCCCTGTACCCCCTCTTCTGGACTTTCTCAGGCTCCTACAATCCACTCAAGGCCTCCTAGATCCAAATGAGAAATCTTTCTCCTTGTGTCCACCCTGTACTTCACCACCTTTCCTTCAGAGAGCAGTATGTGCGTTCACCTGCTGCTCAAATAGCAGGAAAGTCAGCCTCAATACCTCACCTTCCTCTTACATCAAACTCAACAGGAGCTCTGATCTGTCCACTGCTAGTGCCTCACATCTACAAGTCCACACACAGCTAGCACCATCGTTCAAGCACACGACCCTCCCTCCCCCAATGAACCCTCCCACTCTCACACCATTTTATAGCCTCTTTGCCACATGCCGGAGCTTCCTGCTCTAGAAGGATACAGACCTTCAAGCTTGGCTGTGCTGAGCCTAGTTCCCATTCTGACCTTTGTCCCAGACTGGATCCATTGTGGATTCCAATTACCTTTTCCCCTTTTCTCCTGTGGATCTAGGGGTTGAACCCAAGGCCTGGAGCTAGACAAGCCCCTCCAGCTCCCAGCTTTCTACTTGACATCTCAAACTACAAATATTTCCACACCTGGCTCAGACATGCTCTTTCCAGCCTTCTTCTAAACATCTTCCCCATTTCTCATCTAGTTCTGCAAAGACCCCATCAGCTCCACCTTCTAAACAGCCAGGACTTTAGCACCCCTGTGCTAGCCAGCCCAATCACCTTCTGAAACACTGTAGCATCTCCATCTTCAGTGGCCTTGTCTGGTCCTCATGAACCTGTCAGGTCAGGCTTTTGCTTCTGCCTTTCCAGTGTAATAAAATCTTACTTGGAATAAAACCTCAGACCCTTGTAAGAGCCACAGGGTCCCCTTACCTCACCCTTCTGACCTCATTTCCTATCTCTCCAACCATCAATCATCTTGATCCATCCATGGCCTCTTCTTCACTGTTTATTATTCTTCAAACACATCAAACATCTTCCCACTCCCGGACCTTTGTCCCTCTGTTGCTTTCACCCCAAATGTTTTTCCTCCAGCTATCTGCAAGTCTCCCTATTTTACTTCATTCAGGCCTTTGTTCAAATGCCCCCCTCTTCTCTGCTGTCCCTATGTGAGACAATGCCCACCTCATTACTCTCTGCTAGTTGGCATTCTTCCTAGCACTCACCCTTTCTGCTATCAGTTTGTTTTCTATATCATTTATGGTGTCTGTCTTGTCCTAGAATGGAAGTCTCATGAAGGCCAAGATATTTTTTGTCACTGTTTATTTTCTCTGTGCTTAACCTCTCTCTCTCAACACACACTGGTTAAAGCATCTGCACTTTTTGAATGTGGAGGCTCTCTGACAACTTCTGTCAAGCTAAGTAGTAAACCTTACTTCCCTGGCTTCCTCCACAGCCACCACACTTGATCCCATCATTGGAACATCCGTCGTTACTACTGTAGTAAGGTTTAGGAGCCAAACGTCCACCTGTCTTGACCATAGGTCTATTTACAGGGCCTTACTCTGCTACCCCTCTGGAGACTCAGTAAACTTCACTTAATTTAACTTGACTGCCTCTCTTTACTGTGTTGTCTGTGGCTGGTTTGGTCGTGAAAGGATGCCTTTCTGGGAGAGGTGGGGGTGGGCAAGTGTGGCCAGTCGTAGGTTGGGATGAGAAAGTCAATGCCAATAGCCTAGACCTGGTGTGGATGCTGAGGGTGGCGGCTACAATGACAATGGCCTCAGTTATGGTTTTGGGTAAGGGCTCACCCGGCGGGCAAGGGGTTGGGTAAGCATCTCCCGGTATGGGCCGAGGGGATACTCTGTGTAGTGTTGAAGCAGGTCCTGAAGCTGCGCATGGGCACTGTCTTCACCCAGCACCACATGGCGCCCATCCCCTAGCTGAGCAAGGAGGAAGTGACGGCAGCAGGTCCAGCTCCTAGAAGGGACATTTTGAGTCAGACTAGCTTTTTCTTCTCCCACCAACCTAAGGGAAAAGCCCTGAGCCTTCCTTGGAGAGCCAGTCAGCGCAAGGGCCTACCCCTTGCTTAGCATCCTCACCTGTAGGACAGCACAAAGGCCACAGCACTCTCGCTGAAGCGCACCAGATAGCATCCTCGAGGCTGGGGCTGCAGTAGCATCTCAGCTTCCCTGTACGAGTAATAGAGAAGTATGGGGTCGGTTCTGACTCTTACTACCTCATTTCTGTCTCCTCTGGTAAGGGATCTCTCACCTCTGCCCCAAGCAAGTATTCTAGGACTAGGTGGAGATGAGGCTGACAGGGGTCCTTCTCAAAAGGCCCTGGGCTTCATCCTCCGGGGTAGCCTGGAGGGGGAGCAGCAACAGCAACAGACATGGTAGTTACAGGACTAGAATTTCGAAGTCAAAAGCTGGGCTGAGGAGATAATGAGTGAGAAGCAGGGTTGACAAATGGAGGGTCTGCAAGGGTGGGAAGAAAGAGGAGAGGGCTGGAGAGAGGTAATAGAGATGGAGGGGATAGTGGCTGATAATATGTAGACCAGTGTGAGGCCTGGGTACCATGGAAATGGAAGACGCCGGTCTGGAGCAGGAGTAGATGAGCAGAATGAGGACCACTCCCTCCCCTGCCCCGGGCCTGCATGTTCCAGCACAGGCAGCCTTTCGGTGCCCCACCTCTGCCACCCTTGAGGTGGTCACCTAGCCTGGCAGCCAGGTTCCAGGTTAAACTTCCCCTGTTCTAATAAGGTCATGTCCAGTGAGCACTTAGAATTCCTCTTCATGCAAATAAGGCATTCATGGCACCTTAGCCCTGGCCAATGATGTACACTCACCCTAAAGTCTCTGCCCACTTCCCAAAGGCTTAAATAGCCTTTGACACTCCCCCAACCCCAATTAAATGAAGTCTGCCTCCCTAGAAGTCTGTTTCTCATGGGACTCACCAGCAGCCTGAGGTCTCCATCACCCCCAGCCATTTCTGCCTGGCTTTCCCTCTCAGGCCACTGATCTGATCACTGGCAATCACACCGTTTAGGGAGGGGAAGTGGGGTGATACTGACAGACTGGAGGGCTGGAGCTAGTAGGATAAGGGAGCCTAGGGAGAAAGAAACTGAGCTGCAGAGACAGGGCTGAGCAAGAGCTTCTCAGTGAAAGGCCTGGGAAACTAGAGACTCAGCTGTCATGATTTCCGGACTGACTCAGGACCCACAGTCCCTGTACCTTCTGGGGGTTTCCTCTTCTGTGACTCACCTTCTGGTGATGAAGCCATGGAACCAAACAGGGGCAGTCCTGAGCAAGAGCCAGTGGGCCTGGGTGTTCTGGACCCATGCTCTAGTCTCAGCTTGCAATGACAGGTCACCTTTCCCAGGTACCTCTTCTTCTTTGTCAGCGTTTGCTAGGACCCAGGCAGTAGATGGGGCTGAGGCAGATGCCTGGGTGAAAGAGAAGTCAGGGACAGAAGGAACCATGGTTAGAGGACTTCTCTTGACCCAATCTGCTTCCTTTTTATCCTCATACCAGCCCCCAAATTTATTTTAGGGTGAGATTGCCCCGAAAGCCCCTCCCCTCCCAAGGTTTAAATTCCTTCTGTATCTTCCATACTAGCCTCAGAGGGCAGGAGATGGTGTAGGAAGCAACCCCAGGCCAGGGAGGATGGCTTCCTCTCTAGTGAGGAAAACTGAGCTGTTGGCGGGGAGGGCAAGGGACTTAAATGAGATCTGGGATGCTTTGGGCAAATGGAGGTGCTGGCACAGCTCGCAGACAGTTGCCTTTGGGGGCCAGTGCGCTATGTCCTGGCCACCTGGGCTTGAACTTTCCAGGGCCAGAGAAACTGAGGGTAAGTGGGTAGCTATGCAGGGGGAGGAGGCACCCCCACTTCCTCCTTCCTGTCCTCAGCCAGCCATTTATTCCTGTGTCCATGTGCATGCCCTCATCCTTGAGAGAATGGGAGTGGATGAGGTGACGGTTCCCCTCCATGTTTCTACTCACCATGGTGTGGGTGTCCTTGGGTCTTAGCTGAACCTCCTGTTCCTTCACAGCTTGCATGCTAGGCTTGTTCCCGCAACCCAAGTCCTGGCATCTCCTCCGTATCAAGTTCATGGACTGGAAGGTGCCGATGGGTGGAGAAGGGGCTTCATGATTCCCTGTTGGCATAAAAGAGGTTGCTGGAGTTTGCTCGAGAGGGCTTGCCTCTCCCTTCCTCCTACATCCCAGTCTCAGAGTGTCTCTTAAACATCTCCAAAGGGGCTTTCCCAACAGGAACAGTGATGATAAGAGGAGTAGTACAAACGTATGCCAGGTGGGTAGTGGGTGGGTATCTCAGGGATGGGAATAAGGAACCAGGGTGTTCCAGAGGGACTGATAGCAACCGAGGGCTCCTGTCAGTACAGCAGGGACCCTGAGGGCTAGGCTGTACTTCTGATGGCTGGAAGCCCTGTAGAAAGGTAGATCCTTTCAGGGCAGGTCTTCTCTTGGTCTAGGCTTTTCCACCTGCCATCTTCTTTCATCCTCTTGTTCCAGTCCTCTAAAAATTCTCTCAAGTTCCTGTCCCCTGCCCTAGGGAGCCCAGAGATGGAGCAGGAGCTGAGGGCATTATGGCAGGTCTGGTTTAGTCAATTGCTTAACGGTGAAGTGGGAGCTCAGGCCCAGGAAGGCAGTAGGGGTAGGACAGTCTTGGACTTCATACATACCTTGGGGGCATGTCTGGGCCAAACAGAGCTCCATAGAGGCAGGTGTGTGTGCTCCCAAAAGAGGTACACGCTGGAGAGCAGCTCATCTCTCCTCTCACTCCTTCCCCCAGGGACAGGAAATATCACTTTACCCACTGCTTTGTCGTGAAAAGGACTGACGTCATGGAAAGTGCAGTAAGACGAATGTCCTGGCCTTGGAAGCCAGGCAGCTAGTGTAGTTGTGGCGGGCTACCCGGTTAGGTGGGAGGAGTTCTTGCTATATGACCTTTGGCCTCTCTCTGAGAGCTTTATAGGGCTTCTCAGAAATTCAGACTCAGAATTTTGCTTTGAGGAGATACATGAGGAGAGAGGGGGAGAGCAGCAACAGGAAGGATGTGGGTTAGACCTCTGGAAGAACTTTGGTGTATATATTTATGTGCCTGTGCTTGTGCAGTAGTTGCGTTATGCTGCAGGGCCACTTGCCTGTGTTTGTGTACGGAAACTAAAGCTTGAGGCAAGTGCCTTCCTCACTTCCCACTCTCCACCTTACTTTATGAGACAGGGTCTTTCATTGGGCCTTGAACTCATAATTTCAGCTAGACTGGCTGTTTAGTTAACCTCCTGGGATTCACCTGTCTTACCTTAAACCAACACTGGGGTCACAGACATGTGTCCAGTTTTCATGTGTGTGCTGAGACTCCCAGCTCAGCAACACATGCTCGTTTGTATAGTAGGAACTTTTGCCTGTGGAACTGTTATTCCAGCTGCTGGAGGAACTTTTTTAGCTATATGAGATGCATAGGACACTGAGTTAGAGAAGAGATTCTGATGTCCATCTTCGAGCAGATATAATGGAGTTGAATTAGGACAACACTAAGCAACCTTAGAGGATTCTCTAACTGAACAGGCCACTGTTGAAAGTGATAGGATTAGCAGCTGTGGTTGAATCGGAGCTATTCTATAGCTTCGTGCTTAGAATGTGTGCTTCCAGGCAGGCAGTGAGTGCTATCGTGGGAAGCTGTCTTGTAAGAGGAAGAGCCTACTTGCGAGAAGCAGGTTACACAGGCCTCTGCATCTTTTGGTGTCTACCCAGGAAACCAGATTCTATGATCCATGACTGGTACTTAACATTACTTAGAAATGGGGAAGACAGCTGGATGGTGGTGGTGCATACTGATAGCACCAGTCTCAGTACTTTTGAAGCAGAGGCAGGCAGATGTTTGAGGTTGAGGCCAGCCTGGTCTATAGAACAAGTTGTAGGACAGCCAGGGCTATATAGAGAAACCTTGTCTTGGAAAAAAAACAATCAAGACCACAGCTGGAAAATCACAATAGCGAACATCAGACATCGCTATAGTGATAAAGACACTGGTGCTGGCATAAAAGCAGAAGATTAGGTCAATGAAACAAAACAGAGATCATGGAAACAAATCAACAAAGCCATGGCTCTTTAATTTCTGACAAAGGAGACAAAAGCATGCAATGAAAAGAATACTATTCACCAAATGGTGAAGGCAAAATTAGATATCCACATGCAAAATAAGAAAATTAGATTCACAGCTTTCATTTTGAACAAAAGTCAATTCAAAATGGGTACAAGACCTTAATTTAAAAGTGGCAATTCTAGAAGAGAACATAAAGAATGACCTGCAAGACACTGGGGTTAGCAAGAGCTTCCTGAACAGAATGCTAAGGCTACAGGAACTAGTCCTGATATTAAACATGACACAACACAAAAATAAAAGTTTCTGCACAGCTGGGCATGGTGGTGCATGCCTGTAATTCCAGTACTCAGGGAGGCAGAGGCAAGCAGACCTCTGTGAGTTCAAGGCTGGTGTACAAGGGAGTCCAGGACAGTCAAGGCTACACAGAGAAACCCTGTCTCAATTAAAAAAGAAACGAAATGAAAAGAAAACTGCCAATTAACAAATGGGCAATGAATCAACAGTTTTCAATAGAAATACGAATGGCCAATTTGTATTTTAAACTATTTTAAACCATGTTCAGCATCCCTTATAATCAGGGAAATGCAATTTTAAACTACTCTGAGATACTTCTTGGCCCAGTCAGAACGGCTGTCATCAGGAGCTCTGACAACAAATATTGGAAAGGATATAGAGAGAAAGGAACTTTTATTCACTGTTGGTAGGAGCACAAATTAGTACAGTCGTTGTGGAAATCAGTTCAGAGTCCTCGAAAAATAAAAAACAGAACTGCCATATGACTCAGCTGTTCTACTCCTGGGCACACACCCATAGGACTCCACACCCCACAGCAAAGGTATCAGCATCCCCATGTTTATTGCTGCTCTATTCACTGTAGCAGGAAATGGAATCAAATAAGATATCCATCAGCTGATATATGGATAATCAAAATCTGGTATGTATATAAAATATAATATTATTCAGTGACAAAGAAAAATGAAATCACAGAATGTTTAGGAAATTAGATGGATTTAAAATTAAGTGAAGAAAAGAAATCAGCATGTCCTCTCTCGTGACTACATTGCATACACATATATATGTCACAGCTGCAAATGTGGGTATGCTGTAAGGTTACAAAGGTGACAACTGTTGGCAAAGGGTCCCATGGAAACTCCAAACATCACAGGCTATTGTCAAAGCTATTGGTTGTTCTTCACAACTTGATGGTTAGGCTCTATTACTGAAGACAACACTTACTTGTGGCATCAGATCAACATGGAAGTTGATCTGATGCCCAAGTAGAAGCTTCTCTGCTACTATCATGCAAAACACTAGAATGTATTCTACATGCTGCTGAAGGGGGAAAGTCATCATCAATATCACCCAGCTACAACCCTGTGACCTTCAATAGTGACCTGCTTGCAAGATCACTGGTGCAATAGCAGCACAACTGTTATAGGAGTAACCAGTCACTTTCTGATTGGATTCAAGGTTCACTCCATGAGATGGAACTCATACCTGATACTGTTAAAGTGGCCAAGAAACTGAGTCATGGGTCATGGGCCTAGGGGAAAACTTACTACTATTATTCTACAAAAGGAATATAACAATAAAATGACTATCCAAGTTGAGCATGGTAGTACACATCTTTTAATCCCTCCCTGTACTTGGGAGGAAGAGGCAGGAGTATCTCTGTGAGTTCATGGCTAGCCTGGTCTACAGACAGATTTCCAGGGCAGCCAGGATGACACAGAAGAAACTCTGTCTCAAAAAATAAAAACAAACAAAAAACAAAAAAACCCACCCCTAATGACACACCCATAGATCAGTGCCTGGATCAACCCACATCAGAGAAGCTTCTTCTTGCAGTAGATGGGAATTAATACAGAAAACCATAACTGGAAAACATGCAAAGAGAGACACTTTGGAGCATTCAGTACCTAATGGAATGTCTTCATCAAACCCCACCCCTCAAGGCTCAGTGTCTATTTGGAAGGGGCAGTGGAGAGATTGTAAGAGCCAGTTGATGGATGTCTTCAAAGAAACAGTGTCCTCCTGACACAACAGGACTGAAGCATATATGTACTCACAGAAACTGTGACAGCATTCACAGGACCTGCACAGGTTTGAGCTAGACAGGTCCTAGCTAAGATGGGGAAGTGGGCATGGGCTCCCATCCCTAACCAAGAAGGTATCTGCAATTGATACCTTCTAACAAAAGGAAAATAATTTTTCCCCAACGGAGTGTTGCTGAGTATAACAGCCACACTCCAGGACTGGCCCCATGTTCAAGAGTAGTTAGGTGGCCAATACAAAATGGTATCTTTGTGGATTTTGTCTCAATTTGCTTTGTTTTGTCTTTTTTCTCTTAATTGGTCTTTTGTTTCCTTGTTTTGATTTTAGTTTTTGTGGGTTTTATTTTTATTTTGTTTGTTTTTGAAAGAGAAAAAGGACATAAAGCTGGGTGGATAGGGAGGTGGGGGTCTGTATGGCAGGAACTGGAGGAGGGGGATAACAAAATATATGAATTTTTTTAATTAAAAAAAGAAAGAGGGGCCGGAGAGATGACTCAGTGGTTAAAAGCACTGGCTGCTGTTCTAGAGGACCCGGGTTCAATTCCCAGCTCACAGCTCTCTGTAATTCCAGTTCCAGGGGATCTGATACCCTCAGACAAACATACATGCAGGCAAAACACTGCAATGCACATAAAACAAAAATAAATAAATATTTGAAAAAAGAGTGCAGATATTCTCATCAGACAGCTCTGCCATCTGCTTGCTGTGTGGGAGCATCCTTGCTGGAAGGATGGAATGCAGCAGAGGACACAGAGTTGTGAAAGAGAATATAAAGCTGATTGTTTTTCTAGTTCCAACTCTGTCACTTTTTTTTTTTTTTTTTTTTTTTTGTAGTGGTTATGTAAGACCTGGAGTCTCACTGCTCAGGAGCTCAGGATTGTGCCCTTCCCAGGAACTCTCACAGACCACAACTCGATGCAAAAGCAAGAGGTTTATTGCTATCGCCATAGGGTCACCCCTCCAAAGACAGGAGACAACACCGAACATGTAAAGCACAGGGTTTTTATACCTGAAAATCATCAGATCACTTCTGCTTTATAGTTTACAGCTGGTTGTTTCTCAGAACAGTTTATCCCACCCTTCAAGAGCTATCTGCACCTGGCTTCAATTCAAATAACCACAGTTGTTTTTTTTCATTCTCAGGTGGTCCCTCATTCCCCCCTTTTCTTTTTTCCTCAATTTTAACCCTAAAATTGTAGATCAACCTCAGGGAGAGGTTGATACTGTCTCTGGAGACCTAAACTGCATTTACTCATTCCCTGATGAAGGTGAGTACTGGTCGGAGAGTTTATTGTTCCTGATGAGTTTCAGTTTTATCGGGTTCCTGGAGGCTTGGACTTTCCAGGTGTCTGCAGGTTGATGAAGAGCTGGCTTGACGTGTGACGTGTGGATCCAAGATGTGATGTCCTCTACTTTGACGGCAGTTGGTATAGTGGTGAGCAGGAGGTAATAAGGACCCTTCCACCGAGGTTCCAGATTCTGGCTGCGGTGTAGTGGCACATACCAGATCACTAACCTGAAACTGACGGGGCACCTCCAAGGACCCGGGTGCATATGCACTGCCAACCTTGCTTCAAATTTCTTTCTGAATAAGCTG